TAAGCGCAAATATGTTTGTATACAAATCGCCGTTGTATTCTTCGGTTGCTAAACTGTGTTTTTTAATTATTTATAAAAATGGCAAAAAAAGTGTCAAAGTATTATAATTGAGACGGTATTATTGTAAATGGCGGCCACTACTTAGAATATGCTACGCGTAGCCATACTGTCCAGCAGAAGTAACGCAGCAATTGCAACTGCTACATGAAGCCGCTACGTAGCGCTAGCTTCGGCTAAACACACCCCATGTTTATATAGTCAAAGGTCTAAGAATGCTACATTTAAAGGCGCATGCGCGAAAACACAGCTTTTATGGGAACCTAATTGGCTGTACAGTGCGCATACGCGAAAACGCGACTTCGCAACAACACTGCGGCCAGAGTTTGCAACACTGACCAAACCAAACCAAACCACGTGGGGTAGCATGCTAATGCTATAACCTCTTACAATTTACAAGTAGTTGACATTGCTGTTCGTTGTGCCAGCACGTGGTTTGATCTTAAATAAATAAATGCGATATTTTGTAAAGATATAATTGTTCACAATGGTAAAAAACAATTTGTTAACTTTCTGCAAGCGAAATACAAAATATAAACAAAGATTCTCACCTCCTGAGGTAAGTTAGAGCTATTTATGTTCTTATACACATTACACATATATTTTTTAATTATTATGTCATCCATATGCATATATGTCTTAATTATATTTATTAATTACTATTTAATAATTTGGAGTTTTTATATATGTAGCAAACTATTCTCTAAAACAAGAAATACATGTGAATTTCTTGTTTATTGTTTTGTAGATATTTGAAAATCTTAAACAAGATGTAATATTGGAAATATTATGTGAATTTTTGATGCAGCCAGAATGCACAAAAGATGTTGCTGAGTGTTTTTCAGAATTTTTACCAGCTCTTATTTCAATGGCAATACCTGCAGATAATATACAGTCATCTTCATTGCTTAACAAAGATATCACTCACAGATTAAATTGTGTCATATTGGGAAAGTTAATCAATATTAATCCAGATTTATTAGTGTATGTATTTGTATAGTGGTACATGTATGTTTTACAAAATAGTTGTCCTTACTACATTATGTGTATAATATTGTTTATTTCAGATTTGTTTTGTGTTACTTCGACGTTAATCCATCACCTTTTGAGTTACCTGCAGAAACTTATTTGGATCTGACTGTACCAATAAAAAGACAGAATACAAGAAGATTATCCTATATTGTTTCAGAAGTGTCTGAATATGACATTGTTACAGCATGTCATAATATACTGTGTTCTGCTATTAAACATTTTAAGTATAAATGGAACTGGTTTAAATTCTACAAGTATCTAACAAATACAGATAACAGAATAAAATGGTAAGTATGTGATATAATAAATTTATTAATAAATTAATTTATTAATAAATTTATTAAAATGTATGTCTATATTTTATGAAAAAATATTTTATTAATAAAAAGCACTGTATAGTTATCTAAATGTTATTTAAAAATAAGGCTAATTAATTTCAGGGTTGCTTTAAAATGTCTAGCAACAGTTCTGGATATGTCGCATTCAACAAGACTGTTGTGCGCACAGAAATTCATCCCAAATTTAAAAAAATTTCTAATTGATTATGAAGATAGCAGTATAGATATTAGTACCAGCATAAATATTAGCACAGATGTTAGCATCGCTTGTGCAAGCTTCGAATCAATAGAAGATGCAGTTAAAAATATCTCATCTATTATATCTGTTGCTGGTGTTCTATTACCGACTCTTAGCAAAATCAAAAATACTGACAACTTGGTTCTAGTTTCTTCCACAAGAAAGAATCTGCAAAATCTGGCCATGGCAATTGGTTCCAGAAAATGCATCTGCTTGCAAGGACCAATTGGCTGCGGCAAGACAGCATTGGTGGAATATTTAGCTAAACTTACCGGACGCGACTCATCATCTTTTGTAAAAGTGCAGTTGGGCGATCAAACTGATTCGAAAATGCTGCTAGGAATGTACAGATGTACTGATGTGCCAGGCGAATTTGTCTGGCAACCAGGTGTTCTTACGCAAGCAGTTGTTGCTGGAAAGTGGCTATTGCTGGAGGACATAGACAGTGCTGGCCTAGATATAGCTAGTGTTTTGAGCAATCTGATGGAGACCGGAACGCTTTGCGTGCCTGGCTATCGTGACACTGTTCATGCCAACAGTGGATTTCAGTTGTTTGTCACTCAGCGACTTACGATGTCTGTTACGGGTATCCAAAAGCATATCACAGGCTCTTCGAGTTTATTGCAGAAACATTGGTTATGCCTGAACGTAGAACCTTTGTCCAAAGATGAATTAATTATCGTAGTTCAAACATTGTTTCCGGCGTTGAGTACTATTGCTACTAAAATAATAGATGTGTTTCTATTATTTTCGGTAGGTGATCATGATAGTAATAGCAATACAAACAATACTGTATTATCGTTAAAAATCGGACGACAGACATCGACGCGAGATTTAGTAAAGTGGTGTTCGAGGGCGATCGTTGACTTCGACGTTTCATCGTCAGAATCCGCATTAAAACTTTTTCAAGATGCTCTAGACGTTTTTTGCTCTTCAGTATCTGATCAAGGTATAATTTTAGACTTTCATTTTGCATTTATTCTTTATATTCTTTTTTAATCCGTAATAAGACATTTAAAATAGCTTTATTTAAAAAATTTATTATTTTTTTATAGCGCAACGATTAAGCTTGGCGATAGCGGTAGCTAACAAACTCGGTATTATAAAAACCAAAGCAGAGTACTTCTATAATATACATAAGCCCAGCATAACGTTGCTCCCCGAAATTTTAGTAGTAGGCAGAGCAAAGATTTCTCGTAAAAAAATACAATATGCAAAAATAAACAAAGAAAAAACACATTTCTCATTCACAAGATCTTCATCGTGTTTACTGGAACGTATAGCCAGCTGTGTGATGCAGAAGGAGCCCGTGTTACTTGTCGGCGAAACTGGTGTCGGGAAAACAAGCACTGTACAATACCTGGCAAAGTACACTGGTCACAAGCTAACGATCATAAACATGAACCAACAAAGCGAAAGCGCGGATTTATTAGGCGGCTACAAACCTGTCGATCTGAAATATCTGATCTCACCCATCCGCGAAGAATTCGAAATTCTGTTTCGATCTTATTTTGTAATCGAATCAAATAAGAAATTCTTAGAACATATAGCTAAGTGTTACAAACAGCAAAAGTGGAAGAATCTTGTGACTTTGATGAGTCATAGTGCGCGCGCTGCTGTGAAACGATTGAAAAACAAGTTTGAAGACATCGAAAACAATATGTTAAAGAAAGATGCAGCGCAATATTCCAAACAAAATAAAATCTCTTGTATTGATCACGATAAGAAACTTGATACAGATATGCTGATGAAATGGGAAAGAATGCTAAAGAAACTGAACAAATTAGATACTCAGGTGAAGAATCAACACGCGCTGACGTTTTCTTTTATTGAAGGCAGTTTGATAAAGGCTCTGCGAAATGGTTACTGGGTTCTCTTAGATGAGATTAATCTGGCAAACGCGGAGACATTAGAATGTCTTTCCGGTTTGCTAGAAGGTTCTTCGGAGTCGCTGTTACTTTTAGAGCACGGCATTGGTGAATCCGTAAAGAGACATCCTGACTTTATGATGTTTGCCTGCATGAACCCAGCTACGGATGTCGGAAAGAAAGATCTGCCAGTCGGTCTGAGAAACAGATTTACCGAATTCTACATTGATGAGTTGATCGAACGGTCGGACCTCGAGTTGCTCGTGCAAACTTACCTAGCAGAACTGAATCTCGCGCCGGAAAAGCACGAGGCGATCGTTAAATTTTACTTGAACATTAGAAAGGAAGCTACTAACGTGTTATTTGACGGTACGGCGCACAAGCCACATTACAGTCTGAGAACGCTCTGTCGTGCCTTGTACATTTCTGCATCGAATCCTTGCGGCAGCATTTTGAGATCTCTGTACGAAGCTTTCTCTCTGAGTTTTCTTACGCAACTTAATTATGACTCGTATCCCATTGTGCAGAAAATGATTGCAAAGGCTATTCTAGACAAGAAAAACGTTAAAGCGATTTGTGGCATGGCCATTCCTAAACCAAAATGTGGTCCTAAAGATGAATACGTATACGTTGAAGGATATTGGATTCTTCAGGGAAGTCTAATACCTATAACACCCAGCAATTATATATTGACTGATTCCATCAAAAGAAATTTGAAAGATCTGGTAAGAGTGGTATCAATCGGGAAAATTCCAGTTCTTTTGCAAGGTGATACATCGGTAGGAAAGACAAGTTTGATCACTTATCTGGCAAAAATCACGGGACATGTCTGCGTGCGTATAAACAATCATGAGCACACAGATTTGCAAGAATATGTCGGAAATTACATCGCAGACGAGACTGGAAAATTGGTGTTCCAGGAAGGTATTCTGGTCAACGCAATGCGAAAAGGGCACTGGGTTATCTTGGATGAGTTAAATTTGGCCCCAAGCGATGTTCTGGAAGCTCTGAATCGAGTTCTCGACGACAACAGAGAATTGTTTATCCCCGAAACGCAGCAAGTCGTAAAAGCTCATGAACGCTTTATGCTTTTCGCGACACAAAATCCTCCGGGTCTTTATGGTGGTAGAAAAGTTTTGTCTCGAGCATTCAGAAATCGATTTGTAGAACTGCACTTCGACGAGATACCACCGAACGAACTACAGATGATACTGAACAAAAGATGCAACATGCCCGAGTCATATTGCAAGCAAATAATTAATGTAATGACAGATCTTCAAGTGAGACGCAAAGGCACAGCGGCTTTTGCCGGTAAAAGAGGATTCGTTACTTTGCGAGATCTATTTCGTTGGGGTGAACGGTATAGATTGGTACCCGATATAGACAACAAGTTGTACGATTGGAATCAACATCTCGCAGACGAGGGCTATCTTGTTCTTGCGGCTAAAGTGCGCAAATCGGAGGAAGCAAATGAGATAAGAGAAGTGATAAAGAAACATCTAAAAAGAGATGTGAATCCCGATAGTCTGTTTACATTGAATGACAAAACTTCGCCGGTAACGAGACACATATTGGAGACAATTTTGAACAACAGCATCTCGAGATTTGGCCATATTGTGTGGACTTATCATATGCGCAGAATGGCAGTATTAGTGAAAAAATCTTGCCAATTCAAAGAACCAGTACTTCTAGTTGGAGAAACCGGTGGAGGCAAAACCACAGTTTGCCAACTGATTGCTGCTATCAACGGCCAAGCTATGCGCAGTGTCAATTGTCATATGCATACCGAGTCATCCGATTTTCTAGGAAATCTGAGACCTGTGCGAGAGCACACCGAGAGCGATCAAAGACTCTTTGAATGGGTAGACGGTCCTTTGATAAACGCTATGCGTAACGGCGATTTATTCTTAGCTGACGAAATTTCGTTGGCCGATGACAGTGTTTTGGAACGATTGAATTCTTTGTTAGGTAACACAAAACATTAATCATAGATTGTATTTTGCAGAATAGAATACATAGAATACATTCAAAAGATAACAGTGGTCTACTTTTTATAGGTTTTGAAAAGTACATTATTTTCAATATGTGTTATATTGCGTTACAGAACCGGAACGTAGTCTTCTATTAACAGAAAAAGGAATAGAGTCTTCACAAGACAAAGAAAATACCGTGATTGTAGCAAACGAAAAGTTTGTGTTTATTGGTACGATGAATCCCAGCGGTGATTTTGGTAAGAAAGAGCTCTCGCCGGCTTTGCGAAATCGTTTCACTGAAATATGGTGTGAGGGATGCACAGTCAGAAGCGATTTGCAAGACATAATAGTACATAATCTTTGCATCGATTCGCAAACAACGAAAGAATCCGTTGCTATTGCGATATTAAGATTCATTGAATGGCTGCAAACCACGGAAGTAGGCAAAAAACTCACTGTGAGCATACGTGATATACTCACCTGGGTCAATTTCATAAATACATGCACTTCCAAGGTAGTATTGCGAAAACTGACGATTGAAGAGGCGTACTATCACGGCGCTTGTCTCACGTACATTGATAGTCTTGGATCTGGTGCCACGAGTTCAGAAAAGTATAAGCGTCGTTAACAGATAATTAATCAATTAAAACTATTATCGAAACATCCAATTACAAAATAAACAATTTTTGTTTATTTTCAGAATCAACAAATTAAAAGAGTTTAAAGAAGCTACTATTCGATTTATTAAATCGGAAGTTAAAAATACCATAAAATCCGAACTTACTGCGGAAACGTCTTTGATAAAGAAGAACGTCTTTGTAAATGAAACAAATATATTTGGAGTGCCACCGTTTTATATTAAGAAGAACTCTCATGTTTCTAACGAAAGTCATACGTTTAAGTTCACAACTACTACTACGAAAATGAATACGTTAAAGTTGTTGAGAGCGTTAAAATTAAACAAGCCAATTCTGTTAGAGGGCAATCCGGGTGTAGGAAAAACTAGTCTGGTTTCTGCACTTGCCAAAGCTGTAGGACATACATTGATTAGAATTAATTTAAGCGATCAAACGGTATGTTTCACAAAACGAAAACATATGAACTCCTTGTATTAGAAATTATGACATTTATTTCTATTGACTACAGGACGTATCCGATTTGTTTGGAGCCGATCTTCCCGTAGAAGGTGGGAAAAGCGGCGAATTCGCGTGGCGAGATGGACCATTTTTGCGAGCATTGCGTTCCGGATATTGGATTTTGCTTGATGAATTAAATCTCGCCTCTCAGTCCGTTCTAGAAGCTCTTAATGCATGCTTCGATCATAGAGGGGAAGTGTACATTCCTGAACTGGACAAAACGTTTTCAGTCAAGTCTGATACGAAGCTATTCGGCTGTCAAAACCCTCTGGGGCAGGGTGGCGACAGACGTGGATTACCGAAATCCTTTTTAAATAGATTTACTCAAGTACGTTTAGATATGGAATGACACAAATTTTCAAGATTTCAATTTCTATATTCTAAAATAATTGTTTTTACAGATTTTTGTGGATGCGTTAATAGAGACTGACTTAAAAGATATACTCAATAAACAATTTCCGGAACTTTCCATGGATATTATTAACACCATGGTCAAATTCAATAATAGATTGGTGTCAGAAGTTGGCGTCACATGGGGACATAGTGGTGCTCCTTGGGAAATGAATTTACGAGACATCATCCGGTGGTGTGAAACAACCATCAAAACCGCTTACGAATTAAACGATAATAGTCCATATTTTAATCCAAGCGATAGTGTGGAGCTTATTTATATTAATAGAATGAGGACTTACGAAGATCGACAAAAAGTGAGTCATACAAAAACTGATGTGGAGAAGAATTATAAAACTTTGCTGAAAACAGAGAGATACAAATATACATACTCATTTTTTCTCCTTTTAAAGTTTATTTTTAGTAACAGAAAATTCTGTAAAACTCAGGTTTTAAATATTTTTTTAAGTATTCTTATATTTTTTTGTATATTTTATATTTATTTTTCAGATCTACCACATATATCAAGAAATGGTCTCACTTGACAAATATCCACTTCCATCTAATCAGCTATCTATGTACATCACAGCAGATGAACTTCACATTGGCGATACGAGGTTAAGTCGGAAAAATTATTGCGAGTACGAAGATTGTAATTTGTTAGTGCTTAGAGACCAAAAGTCAGCATTAAAAAGTCTTATGCAATGTGTTAAAATGAATTGGATGTCTATCCTGGTATGTTTAGTGATGGTGCATAAGTTTATAGAATTTGGTCGAATTAATCTTTGTTCACTTAATCATAAATCATAAATTTTCAATGTTATAGGTCGGTGTTTCGGGATGTGGAAAGAGTACCGTGGTTCGTCTTCTTGCTGCTTTAACAGGACAGAAGCTAAGATCGATAGCAATGAATTCTGCGATGGACACAACAGAGATATTAGGTGGCTTCGAACAGGTAAGTGACAACGTGACAGCTATATCTAAATATTTAATTTACTACATATTTAACTCTCTCTCTTAAGTTTTGACTAAATATTTAATTTAAGTACACTTTTTGCATCACTTTAGAATGAACAGTCATTCTAAAAAAGCAACAGAAGTTTTTGAAAGTTTTAATCTATTTTAATAAGAAAACAAGATGCGTTTATTTTTACTTCAAGAGGCACGGTAGTGCCTCGCGCCAAGCTCACGCGCAACGAAGTCGCCTGTCGCGCGCGAACAGCGCGAGCACTTCGTGTCTCTTTACACGATAATGATTCTGACATTTTGTGAAAAAAATGAAATATTCATATCTTAAGGATAAAGTTCCAAAAAGCGGAACCCTCCGATTTTGCTGTCGATCGGTATACTACTGTATTTCGATGTACTGATTACGAATATGATAGTGAAAATTACCGACAAGGTTTGGTCATTTTCAAAGTCAAGAAAAACTCACAAAATATCGTTTTTTAACATTATTTTGATAAATATTCATGGCACAAAAAAATGTTTCAAATAAAAGTTGTAGTTCTTCAAAAAATACATTATCTATGTCTCATGCATTTTTTGCATAGAACTAATACTTTTTTCGAAAAAATGAGATAGGAAAGACTCCTCTTTCCCCACTAAAAACATGTTCTTTATGTTTGTGTTTGAAATGTGTAAGCAAGGGAAGGAGCTCTGCCTTAAAAATATCGTTTTGTGGCATAGCATAACGTTCGTTTCCAGGAGCGTATGTTCGTATACATTGTAATATTAAGCGCCTGAAGGAATACTTTGCGTCTCGAAATGCATTGATCTCGAGTTACGTTTAGATAAAATCTGATTTTTTCTTTAGATGTCCCGTTTATTTCTCTAAAAAGTGTTGCTTAAAGGGTAAACATTTACAAAAGATCAACTTCTTCAGAACTTGGTGACCTTGACATATGTTGTCAATGACACCTCGCTTAATAACAATCAAAAGGTTTTAGCCGTTGTTTATTAAAACGTTATTAACAAAAGAAGTTTTATAACTAAACTCTTTTTTTTCGACACCATGTACATTTTGTTCGTGTGTGAGCGTATAAGCAGGGAGGAGGGCTTTGCTTCCCCGCAAAGGGAGTGCCTCCGCCCTTACTCTTGCACCTTCATCTTGAAACATCCACGTACACAGCGCGTCAAAAATTTCAGAGAGAAGTCTAAAAGCGGCCACGGCCATAAGAGTTTCTGCGATAGCTTTTCGTGGACATGGTTCTAATCCGTGCCAATTTTGTGGACATGATTCTATTCCGTGCTATGAAAACACCGATGTGGTGGGAATACGCACATAAGCGAGAACCGTCGTCATACATCAACATAATGTGTCTGCACTCTTCTACGAGCGCACACGGACAACGGTCTCGCTTGTGTGGTCAATAAACAGCCGGTTAAGGCAAGGTAAGAAAGGAATTCAACCGGTTAAGGCAAGGTAGAGAAAGAGAATCCAGGCATTGCCTCTATCTACCTTGTTTATTGTTTGACCTAGCCCTTGACTACAAGGCCAAGGGAGGAGGTTAGTGAAGGTCATACCCGAACGTAAACTTTCCTGCTCTTTTCATTTCCGGCGTCAAAAATATGGAGTTCCATTTAAACATAACGACTTGACCTAGAAATGACCTTGAAGATCAAGGTCAAGGTCAACTTCAAGGTTACGTGGTAATAGCCAGAGAAATGTCCTACAACTTTTGTCTGAAATGTTTTTCTGTTTGACTCTTAGTTTTCGTTATGTTGCTGTATCAGGACTTTTTGAACACTGTATAATCATATACAGGGTGTTTCAGAACTATGGGATCAAACTTCTAGGGGTTATTCAGTGCAACAGTAGAAAACATTTGAGTATAGGGACCCATGTCCGGAAAAGTGTCACTACCGCACTACGGCCCTAAGACGCGTTAAAATTTAGAAAGACGA